TTTTGTGTATATTGACAATAAACACCATTTTGTTTGAGAAATAAGTTGCATAAGAATGTGAATGTATGTTCAACAATATGCTGATTTATTTATTATATCATTTCATAATCATGGAAAAACAAATATTAACTACAACAATTTCATAAATTTTTGTTATTATTGAAAGTGATTGAAGTACCATGTACTTTCAGTTGTATAAATGTATAAAACTGTCTAAAAGATTTTAAAGGTGAGGTTTGTTTTTTTCAAACACTATTTTTTATTTTGTCTAATTTTATTAATATTACTCTTAACTAATACACGATGCCAAATGTAATAAAATAGTACAGAAAGTAGTTTTCTTTAACCTGTGTCATATATTTTTTTTCATGAATTTGGTGGATTTATGGATTTGTATGTTTAATTTTTTCAGAATCGCATGGTTGAATCTATGAAACTTTTTGACTCCATATGTAACAACCAGTGGTTTGTAGAAACGTCAATTATCTTGTTTCTCAACAAGAAGGATGTATTTGAAGAGAAAGTAACCAAATCACCTTTAAGCATATGTTTTCCAGAGTATCAAGGTGGTACCATTTTTTATGTTTTTAGTTTCCAATAAACCATCATTACATTTAATTATGCAAGACTTGCAAAACATGACTAAAGTTATTTATCGCTACACAAAATGTTACCAAAGGTGTACTAAATCATTATTAACTTCAAACTTACAGAGCTGTACTGGTAGAGTATTGTTGTGGATAAGTTTCCTTGAATTACAAACAAAAAAATACTTAGTCTATAATTTTCACCCAAGTGTTTTCAGTTATAATATTTATATTCTCTCCTTAATGTTTTTCATGATTACTAAACACATACTCATGTTCAACTCAATTTCTTTGTTGCTTGAGTAACAAAGAGTCATAACAAGCCAGCCAAAGATAAAAATTTCAACAACTGTCCTCCTATTTTGTTTTACATTTGTAAAGGAAGTTTCTCCTGTTAGTTTGTGAATATTTTACTTTTGTAGGCGGGTCTGTGTTTTAATTTTAATTCTTTTGCACTCCCTTTGGGATTGTTTAAAAAACTCAGTTCTAAAAATTTTTATGTATTTGAGATAACAGTAATTGAAATAATAATGAATAAAGTGTTACCATTGCAGGGGCTAACAGCTACGAAGAAGCTGGAGCCTATATTCAGATGAAGTTTGAAATGTTAAACAGACGGAAAGACACAAAAGAAATCTACACTCACTTCACCTGTGCCACTGACACAAATAATATACAGTTTGTGTTTGATGCTGTGACAGATGTCATCATCAAGATCAATCTTAAAGATTGTGGATTGTTCTAAATGTGGAAAGTGTTGGTGGCACCAGTAACTTCAAAGTGACAGCTGTTTGTGTGTTCCAGTGCACATGTCGTATTATGAAACTACAAAAAAAATGTACATAAATAATTAAGTAGTAGCTGTTTAAGGGACAATACAAGGTCGAGAAAAATGCTGTTCATTTGAGGCATCATGGGAAATATCTTGAGATGCTCCCTTGCAGTCTTTGAAAGGTATTGATAGCTATGTAGGTACGCTCAAGTGCTGGAGAATAGGGGGACATTGAAAAACATTTTTATTATTCAGTCACTTCAGTACACTTGTACCATAGGCCTTAAAGAACTAATCCTTTTATACAGAAACACATAATTTTATACATATAAAATAAGTAGAAAGTCAGATACACCCAAGTAATAAAATAAGTGAAATTTCTACATTTCAAGCATCATGATTTCCACAAACATTACAGAGCCAAATTCCCACAGAAACATGTGTATAAGTTATTAGTTCTGATAGACCACAGCGTTTAGGTAAAGATTCACTTCATTCATGATTACGAAGTTGAATAGCTTTATAATTAATTTTGTTCACAAATGACGAAAGGTGAATTGAAAGTAATAATTTATTATATAGTTAGGAGTAACTGTCATCAAGATAGCGATTTTTTTTCTCTTAGTATATTGAATACCTATATTATATTACAGTTATGTCTTTATTTTAAAACTTTGTGTATGGTTTTATAAAAGTGACTGAGTTGTGTAGTTTTCTAGAAAGTGGTATATATTAGAATAATATACCACAGATTTTGTGTAAAGCATGCCCTGAGGTTTGAAATGGTTTCATATAAATGAGAACTCCTGTATGATTACAGAAATGTGGAACATTTTCTGGAAACAGACCAAGAAACACTGAAAACCATAACATTTGTGTCACTGGAGTATAAGAACATTCCCTTATTGAAATCAATACTGATTTAAAACCATTGTATAACATTCGTGTCACTGGGGTATAACAACATTCCCTTATTGAAATCAATATTGATTTAAAACCATTGTATAACATTCGTGTCACTGGGGTATAACAACATTCCCTTATTGAAATCAATATTGATTTAAAACCATTGTATAACATTCGTGTCACTGG